TTTGTTCCTTAGACTGTATGGATAACTCATTAGCACAAGCTCTCTCCTCTCTGGAGAGCTCAATGAACTAGTCCGGAATAAAACTCAGAAATAAATTCATGTAGGCCAAGCATGTTTCTGTTGAGCAGTTCAGAGAGAGGCAAATCTTAGAGATGTAGTACAAACCAGACACATATGTTTATGCTGTGAGAAGCGGACATGTACTGCACAGTACTGTTAAATGGAAATGAAGAAGAGTGATAAATGAATTGTCACAAAAATCTGTTTATACCTATGACAGCCATTGTTGTATCCTTTGAATTCTTTTCTTTATAGTATCACAATTTAGAGGAGCTTAAAAACCATTTCTCAGTCACCAAATTTAAATATTTGGACTACTGCAATGATGTAGAACATTTTTTTTAAATGTTGGTCCATACAGCACTTACCAAGTTAGAATTTCAACAGATAATAAATTGAAATAAAATAAATTTTGGTGGATCTATGTGAAAACTGAGCGGAAGCCATATTTTCAACAGTAGCTTCTTAGTTCACATAAGCCAGTATTTGCAAGTGACAGGGCTTGCCAAGCGGCGGCAAGCCCCGCTCGCCAGCCGCGCGGAACTGCATGCTGCGCATGCGCAGACCATGCTATGCATGCGCTGGCTGCGCCAGGCTAAAATCTACTTGCCACGGGCGAGTAGATTACATTAATTGTCAAGCCTTGGCAATTGATGTACAGGTTAAAATCTCTCTAGTCCAGCACTCTCAGGACCTGATCTGTGCCAAATCAGAGAATTTGCCGGACAACGGGAGGTCAATATTGTTTAGCAGCATTACCAGCACTTCCGCTGCTTACAGGCCACTTAGAAGACACTTAGGGGTAAATTAATGATAAATGAAAGCACAGAACAGAGCCAGGACCGGTGGCTGTAAACAAACTTTATGGGACCACGGGAAACTTGGCCACACCCAAGGTAAGTCGTCTGGCTAAGTAAAATCATGCCAGACCATGGATGTCACCAGACCAGAGAGGTCGGTCGAGGATTTCAAGAATCTATTCATCATGCAATTATCAGAATTCAAGTCAGTTTTCACCCTATGTCTCCCTAAATTCATACTCTATAGGACAAACATTTTCAGCATTAATAATACTGATCAAAACATGGGCAACAAAGGCTCCTAGTTTAAAGAGAAGCTAGATAATTTCATGGAGGTTAGGTCCATAAAAGGCTATTAACCAGGGGATTCAAGAATCTATTCATCATGCAATTATCAGAATTCAAGTCAGTTTTCACCCTATGTCTCCCTAAATTCATACTCTATAGGACAAACATTTTCAGCATTAATAATACTGATCAAAACATGGGCAACAAAGGCTCCTAGTTTAAAGAGAAGCTAGATAATTTCATGGAGGTTAGGTCCATAAAAGGCTATTAACCAGGGGATAGAAACGGTGTCCCTGGCCTCTGTTTGTCAGAGGCTGGAGAAGGATGGCAGGAGACAAATAGGTTGATCATTGTCTTCGGTCCACCCTCTCTGGGGTACCTGGTGTTGGCCACTGTCGGCAGACAGGCTACTGGGCTAGATGGGCCTTTAGGTCTGACCCAGTACAACCGTTCTTATGTTCCTAAATCCATATTCAAACACTTAAATAATAGAACCAGATTTTCAAAGGTGTTTTGTTTAGTACTTGAGGCAACTGTTGAGTTCAATGGGATTTGTTAGTTTTAGAACACCTCTGAAAATGTCTATATATGGATTTAGGGTGGGCTTCATACAATTGTCCATACAGCAGCCTGTGTACAGAGTGGGAGACCGCATGCTACATCTTCAACAGTGATAATGTGGTCTGAAAGCATTGCCTGGGTGCTCCCAGGGAGAGATCTGATTTGCACAATGTAAATACTTTGGTGTGTGAGCTAGAGTTCCTAGAAGGAATTTCTATTATAACCTTAAGTTTTCCTCTTCAAAATAGTGCAATTCAGGTAATGCCACTCTCCACTGTCGCACACGGATTTTAGTTCTGATGGAAACAGTGCTCATAATGCAAGTGCTAAAAATGTGCCGTGTTTGAAAAGTGAAGCATTTCTTTTATTCTGGAAAAAATAAGTAAAGCTGAAAATTGTTCTGCGTGTTATTTGAGTGCAATATTTTCCACATAGCTTGCATTCCCCCTTCCTCCCCGCGCCTTCTTTTAGGTGGCAGGTTCCCCCTGAGGGGAAAGAAGCCCCTGTGCTTGTTGGCTTTCTGTCAGCAAGGAGACCCAACCCCTGGCTCAGCCTGCAGACAGGCCTGCACCTTTGAACCTCTTTACTGTTTATGTGCTGCCTTGCCCTGACCCAGGGCCCGGGCTCATAATCTATCAGATAGCTTAACAGACACTGCTTAATTGTCTATTTGCTGCCCCGCCCCGAATAAGGACGTGGCACCTAGACTGCCACCTAGTCCAGTGGTGTGCGACCTTTCTCCCGGCGCAACCCCTAGGAAAATTTTGAGTGAAAGGGGGAAAAAAAAAAAAGCGGACCCTTTAAATGTCGCTCCACTCGCCTGCTGCTCCGCTCCCCCACTGCGTACATGCTGAGCTCGGAAAAAAATGGTGGCCGGCCTGGTGTTGCGACCCCCAAGAGGGTTGCGACCCACAGGGTTGCGCACCGCTGGCCTAGTCTACCAGAGACTGCTTAATTGTTTATTTGCTGGCCTGTTCTGAACAAGTATGGGCTGGTAGAACTGATATTTGGCCTGCAGTCAGGCCATTGAGGCCCCAAACTTTGGGGGCTTGTTGTGCATCAGTGTGGCCTCCTGCTGACTCAAAATATCACAGGGGAACTTCTAAGATGGAAAAGTGATTAAATGTTTGTGGTATGTTCAAACCAGAGACGTGCTGAAAAGGAAAGCACTGACTCATTCTTTTCACTTGCCCAGTATTTAACACCTGGTTGAAACAGTTTATACATCAATGAGATTTACTTAAAAATGATGAAAAAGAACAATACTGCATCATGATAATTTTAAAACAATAATCTATGACCCAGAATATGTCAGCTGCTCCAAACAGGTCTTCATCTACATTCCATGCAGACCGCAGTGGCTTTATTGTCTGTTGATAGAATTGTCACTAACCTGATTGCTTTGGGATGTTTTCCGTGATGATAACCAAGAACCAGCTCTCAGTCTTCCAATCTCTAGGTGCACTAGCCCTTGAGCACACTTGGAAGATAATAAAATATAATACACAGTATTTAAACAGGGTTGTGACATTTCTGCTCTCCTAGACTTACTAACATAGTTTTAGGCCATAATGTTAAGAAACCATTGAATGTTGAAACCTAAAACCTAATTTTTTATCCAGCCCCGTATGCCCAAGGCCCCGCCTTTTGCCTACAGGTCCAGTGATCCTGTCAGCTCCCCTTGTCTTGGCCCATCCATAATACTCTTTTCCACAGTTCCATGGACAGTGTTATTGAATGTGTAGTAAAGAAAGGTGCAGAGTTTCCTTGCACAGGCTTGTCTGTGCTCTGGATGTATGTCTGATCAGGATTTGATCCCAAGTACTTCAGAAAAACGGCACCAACACGTGCAGAAAGCCTTAGCTAGAACAAATGTACACTACATTGGATGGCTGCTAGGTTAGTGTAAGCTAGAAAAGTTTCAGTTCCACAATATTATATGCCTCTCAGTTTTCATGTTTTTTCCATCGCTTGAAAAAATGGCTAGACTCTCAAATAAATGCCTAACATAATATCTGCATCTTAATTTTGCCACTACATAAATATACATGTACAGCTAAAATGAAATGAATCTCAATGTAATTTCCATATCAAATTCCTATCTGTCTTGATAATCGGTTTTAGGTTGTCCTGGTTATGTGTAAATTACACTCCAAGATGATTACCTTGCACACTGTCAGTAACTGCAGTTTCATATCTAAAAACGTAGTATGTACTTACTTTGAGGATAGCAGCAACAACCTCCTGAGAGGCATTTCTCATATCCTCCCCATTAACAGACAAGATCTGATCTCCTTGTATTAATCTCCCATCTAGGTCTGCAGCTCCTCCTTTCACAACGTCAGAGACAAACACTCCACTTCCATTTCTGACAATACAAGAAGCATATGGCTAATTACACAATCCACTAGTCTCTGTGTGTTCAATTCAGATTGCATGTATTTAAGAGACATTAAAAGAAACATGGGAGCTGAGAAACTAATTTTAGACTACACCTGACCTTCTGAAGTGATTATAAGCTACAGATTTTAAACTCATTAAAATAAAAAAAAATGCACTATTTCCCTTCCCCCTTATGCTATTAGTTCTGGTGTGTACAATCTGTTCAAATAAGAAAAGCATATGCTACTGTAATATAAAAATACTGCCCTGAAACCAAGGCACAATCTGCTAAGGATAGAGTTGGACTATCTCTTGAAATGCTTGGTAAGAAGTGTTTCATGTTAGATTTTTTTCCCCTTATACAGGGCCAAATCCAATCTCTTCTTTGCAGCCCTAGAGGGCCCCAGGCACAGAGAAGAGTATAGAGAACTGTACAGAGATTTTTGTAGTTTGCATATAAATTTGTGTACCCAGGGCAGTGCAGGATCCAGTTCTGTGGGATTTCCCATGTAGCTAGAGAGTGAGGCTAGCAAAAGCAGGGTAGAGCTGGGTTAAAGCATGAAGTGGACAAGATGAGTGGCTCTACCAGCCACAGAACAAGGAAGAATGCCCTTAGTAGCTCCTAAAGAATCTCTTGGAACCTAGTCCAGCTATTTCAGCGTGGATTAGTAAAGGGCCAAAGAGAGGTAATTTTTTTTAATTGTATCCTTTGGTATATATGGTTGTGACAATTTTCTTCCACTATTTGATCTGAGGAAGTGGGTCTGGCCCACGAAAGCTCATCATCTAATAAACCATCTTGTTAGTCTTTAAAGTGCTACATAGTCCTGTTTTTTGTTTCAGCTACACCAGACTAACACGGCTACATTTCTATTACTATTCTTAATGTATACAGTACCTTTTTATCCAGAAGGATCTTAAGTGCTTCACAAACAAAATGATATCTAATACTACTAACTGTACAGAGGAATAATTTAATCTCTCACAGAAATCCAGCAAGCTCCGGGAGGGGTTGGGGGAAGGGGAACACAACCACTATAGGAGCACTTAGCAATACTACACAACAGTCTAGCATGGAGACAGTTGTGGGGAGGATTGGAGAATACCATATCCAATTCGAGGAAGCAGAATTAAATTACCCACATGAAAATATATCCACAACACTGGGGTTAAACATCTCCATTCTTATGAAAACTACCAAAGAATCTTTACTGACCACAAGCAGTTGGGATAATTGCATAATGATTTTTTTTTTTTGCAATAAGAAACAGAAGTTGGGGTGATGTTTACATGCACCAAGACTGATCAGAGACTTTTCTTGTGCTGACCTGAAGTTTGCTCTAGCAATAGACGATACATTTAATATACTGTAGCTTTAATACAAACAACTTTAACAGAACAGTTTTAAAAACACATCAGCAAAAAGCTATTTTTTACTAAAGCAGCTGTTATTAATTGCCCCATTTTTTACTAGTATTTTATAATCAGTGATTGAAGAGCTCTCTAATTAATCCTCAAAACACTTCCAGATAGTAGGTAGTAGGGATGTTAAGGACTAGTCTGCTATTGGATAAGCAAATACTTATTGGATAATTGACAGGACAGTCAACTAGTTGTTTTCCTCCCCACTTGCTGCCTCTATCAGATAGAGGCAGCAAGGGAGGAGGGAAGAAGGGAGTACTTCAAAGTGGCAGCACTGTAGGGAGCCCAGATTTCATGCGGCGTGGCGGTGTTTGAAAGGGGCAGTGCCGCACAGCTGATCCCCAGCTCTGTCCGGTGCTGCTCCTTTGAAACACTGCTGCATTTCAAAGCAGCAGTGCTGCACGGAGCCCCGGATCAGCTGTGCGCCACTGTGGCAGAGTTTCAAAGGGGCAACGCCGCCCTATCAATTAATCGAATTGTCGATACAAAAATGCATCGACTATTCGATTAGTAAAATACATGCTACTTAACACCCTTAGTAGGTAGCAGCACTATGCGTATTTTAAAGCTAGGAAAGCTGAGTCAGGAAGAGTAGGACTTGCCAGCAGTCACAGACTGGGAATAAAAAACCCAAGAGTGGTTAACTCTCAGTCACTAAACTAGGGGAGGGCAGTAATTTTTGATGGGGGGGTCACACCAAGATTTTTGGAAAGTGGTCAAGGGCCACACTCTTCCATGATATTAATGTGGGGTCTGGGATGGAGGTTGGGTGCAGAAGGGAGCTTAGGGTAAGAGACTGGGGTGCAGGAGGGAGACTGGAATCTGGAGGGAGTTGGAATGACGCAGATGGTTGTGACCTAGGGCAGGAGACTAGAGTGCAGGGGTTTGGGATGTGACCTTGGGTAGGAGATTGTGATATGGGGCAGGAGATTGGAGTGCTAGATCTGGGAGGAGGTATGGGTGAAAGAGGGGGACAGAGGATTTGGGTATGTTGAGTGTGTGCGTGGGGGGGGGGAGGGCGGGGAGTGCCAGAAACAGGCAGTAGCCAAGCGTCTTGTCAGCTGCCAAACTAGCCTGCCTTCCTGCCGAGCTTAAAATGTTTCCTAGCCAGCCTGCCTGACTGGCCATGTGCTTTGTGAATAACTGAGCCCAGGACAGGGGGCGTGATTCTTCTTAGCTGACTGTTATTCTAACAAGCAGCTCCCATTGGCTGGTTTCTGCCAGAAACCAGCCAATGAGAATGTTCTGGGAGCAGGGCGGCTCCTAAATTTCGCCCCCAATTTTAAAAGAGAAACGGAGCCCTGCAGCTGCGTTTCTGCACAGTACGTGGGGCTGCGGGGCAAGCTGGGGAGCCTGCCTGGGGCTCCCCACTGCTACCACAGGCCTGATCCGGTGGCTTGGTGGGCTGGATGCAGCCCACGGCTGTATTTTGCCCAGGCCTGCACTAGACCATACTTTTTATAAATGGATATTATTAATATTATGAGTTATAAAATGCCAAATACTAAGGGTAACAACAAATAGCCTCAGAAATAGTGTTATTACATGACATACATGCCATTGTTATTTCTAGAGGAGTCCAAATCAAAACCCCAGGGTGGAAAACATCCACGAAGTGGTTCAGATCTTGCATTTTGTGGCTTGAGTCATTCTTTCTGTATTTCACATTACATATAATGGCTGCAACTGTTTGTATGACACAATACATTCTCACTTGGAATGCCAGTGCAGTAAAGACAAGTTCTTACCGTTTTCCAACAATGCTTAGGCCTAATCCTCGGCCTGATTTCTTTTGCAGATCTACATAGAAAATATCCAAATTCTCTTCATCTTTATATTGAGCTTCATCTCTATAAACAACCAGTTGCACCTTTTGAGGTGTCTGTCTCAAGGCTGTGATAGCTTCTTCATGACCAGCATTCCTCAAATCAACACCATTAACCTGGAATAACCATCAAACCGTTGAAGAGTAAACTGGCAGAATCATTCCAAATGTCATCTAAAATCCAATCAATTGGTTCTAACTTGGGGCTCGATCCCCTAGTCCTTACACAGGCAAAATTCCTGTTTACTAAAATTAACTGCACAATATGTGACATTCAGTGATTTGTATTTGCAGATACCTACCTACTGCCTTAATCAGCCAAAGTGAATAGAAAAGTCAGTTAGTGAAAAGCAAGGAAAATCGAATAGATATATTAGTTTATCACCTCTTGTCCTGAGCAGAGGTGAGTGTTATAGATCACTGTGGGAAAACTCACACTTGTAAATATCTAAAAAAAAGTATCTACCACTACTACAAATTTCAGGCCAAAAGATTTTAAACTTGGGTGTCTAGGCACAACAACTCATTGGCCTGATCTTTTGTGGTGCTGAGCACTATCTTCTAAAGACCAACATTTAAAAAATATTACACACTCTACTCTGTACTTTCTTATGATGCCTTGTACTGGATCACCTCACTTGAAATGAGATGTACTCTATAAGTCTGTCTTGGCTCTCCCGTTCAGAAAGCTGTCAATCGGTGGCTTTGTAGCATTTACTCTTGTCTGCTTGCCTTTCCCCATTGTTCAGTAATCTCAATTCACTCAATTCACTATTGATAAAGCTACTTCTCTTCCTAGTATCAAAGAAGAAAGTGTCTTTTTCCTCTGCACGTTATATGTTTCTGTTGCTTTTTCTTTGCTGGTATGAAAGCTTAGATTCTCCCTCCCCCCAACTTCATTATGCTAAAGAATAGAAAACATGAGGAAGAAATTATGTACTGGCTGTAAACTAGATTTTTTCCTATGTAGTAAGAGCATTATTTTTTCAAGTTCTCATTACTACATTCACTATATTCAAATGTAAACTTACAGAAAAGTTAGGAAGTGAAAATATTTTAGCTTTAACAAGATTGCTATAAAATGATTATTTTTCTTTGCTCCAATAGATGGCACACAAGACCACTACAGAAGCTCTCAGTTAAGCTTCCTGACCTAATCTGAAAAGCATTCTAGTTCAGAGAAAGCTTGAATAGTGCATTGGCACTGAGCGAATTTAGAAATATTGAAAAAGTACTGAAACTTGAAATTCAGATTCCATATCTAGCCAAATCTAGTATCTGTATCAATATCCTTTAAGATGGCGTGGCAGAATTAAATTTTTATTTGTTCATAATTTCAATAGACATCAATGTTTATTTTTGCACTTTTTTAAATTATCAAAATGTTTACAGTTGCACAAAATTCTGAGTTTTAACATCTCCTAGTTTTATCAAGTAAAATGTTTGCAGACGCAGAAAAATATGGCGTTGAGTGTGAGAGAGTAAATAATTATGTAATCGCAGTAGACGCCGAGTTTTAAAGTGTTACAGTTTTATGCTTGATAATACACTAATTGTCAACATCACATGTCAAAATTTACAAAATAAATATCCTTAAATCAAATTCTAATAAGTTCTCAAGCAACGTTTTCTTTACTTTGCCTATCTTTGATTACCATTGATGGAAATATTATTTCGTCAGTTTGCGTTTGGCTATATGACATTTACAGATAAAATTTAATCCTTCCAAGCCTACATTTTCAGATTATCTGATCAGTGCATTCATTTGCATGTTATATATTAAAAAATGCAAGTGTGTCTAAATTTAAAGGTTTAATTGGAAAGATGAAACAGTAATTGTATAAAAGTATAATAAAGTAATTGTAGAATGTAATACAAACACATAAGTATGATATTGTATATTTTTATAAATTACTATGTAGGAAGAAAAATCAGTTTTTGTAGTCCTACTCATATCAAACCATAGTCATATATTAATTATAAAATAAACTGAATTTACACATATCTATATATTGGGCTGTGTCAAACAAATTTAATTAGGCTTAAGTCAGCTAAGTTCTGTTGTACATTTGCCTCTTTAGGGCAGCTTTAAAGGTATAATTCATACAAATATAATGGTGTACAAGCATTTGCATTTTCCTGTCTGGTCAGCGGAGGATCCATTAACCTCATCCATTTTTATCACATGGTCAATAATCACATGTTGTTCAGACACAGTCATTTATAAAGTGAAAACAAATATAACATTAACATTTAAAAAAATGTGTTCTGTGAAAGAGTTGTAAAACAATTCCCCAAGTGCCCCTCACTATTTTTCTAACCCCATGTACTACAGCAAAATGGGTGTGCTGGGAATTTGTCCTGATCTGAGAGTGAAACGCTGGAAACAGCTGTACTAGAACCATCAGTGCCAGACTCAAGTCTAATTTGCAGTCATCAACATCCCTCTCTTAACCCTCTCCTCTCTATTTCTATATATTTGAATTTCCAATTGTCTCCAACAATTCTGCTGTCAGTCTTTTTCTTATATTAAGTTACAAATAAAAATGTGATGTTGACTATGTGCACATGTACCAACTAGTCAAACTACTCGAATTAAAGAAACAAAATACAAGTCTACAGGTTTTACACCACAGGCTATGTCCCATAAGTTAGCCTGCATGAACAGTTTGAAATGACTCTGCAGTCACCCACTTATTTGCACAGGATTCTGCAAAGCTCAGCTTTTATGCCAATGTATAGTTACAGAATGCAGTTAAAAATACATTAAAAATAAACTGTAAACACTTCATTTTTTTCAGTATAATGCTTTAAAAGGCACGCTGGGATCTAGATACAACATCAAGCTTATAAAAACGATAATAAAGTGCTACATCTTGATAATTATGTTGATTATTGATGAAACATATATACTGTTGAAGATGATGTACTAATGCTGACTAGTACTGCAATTTATTCTGAAGGAATATAAAAGCATAACAAAGGTACACTATAAAGCAGGTTTCTAAATAAAAGATTAAGCAGATGGATGATTCTTAGCAATTGTACATTTGTAAATGACACTGATGTAATTCAAAAGCAATCCTGCTTGATAAAATTTAATACATTCTCAATCTTTAGCTGTAATTTATAGAAGTTTGTGAAATAATATATCCTGGGATTTTTTTATTGGTAAAAAAAACGCTTTATGAACATAGTGTTACTGGTATCTTCATTACAAGCATCAGAATCTACTAAATGGTTAGAGCTCTGAAGAAAGCAATTTCGGACTCAATACAAATATCTTTAAAATAGGCTTTGCAATTAATTTACCTCAAGAATTTGATCACCAGCCCAGAGTCGGCCATCTCTAGCTGCTGCCCCTTCTTCATAAACTTCATGTATAACTATGGCATCCTGTAGAAACAAAATTCTATGCATTTATTCTCATCCATTCCAAAAGTTGCTTAAAATTGATAATTACTGATCCACAACATTCCATAATTTAATTAATGTGAAAATAAGTAAGGCTACGTTACAGATATGTGGGGATAAGACCATTATTACACCCATTCATCAGCCAATTACATTTTGGTTACAATATTTTGCTCACCAATTCAGAGTAGTACTTCTTACAAGGTTTCTATCATTTTTACACATTGGTGTCTGCACTACATGAACTCTACCTGAAGTAGTGTGGTGTATTAATATCATTTACTTTTTATGGCATAATTTAAAGCCAGACTCTTCATTGTTATGAGTATTTTATAGGGTTGGTTAGATCTGCAAGAAATGAAGTTCAGACTTGTTTATTACTGAGGTTAGAAACTGTTGGCAGTGGCAGATATAATTCAGGGAAGGTTCTAGTGATGCACTCCTATTGCCAACAGCAGATGTTCCCAAAGAAAAAAAAACATTACAAAGAGCATTACAGCTTGCATGTATTTCTGAAGGATCTTGTTCTGTCTGGATAGATGATTATGCTCTCATTACATCAAGTGCGCAAAGCTTTGGTTCACTCAAGGAAGAGCAACATTTAGAAAAGAAAACCAGGAGGCAAATATATTGGTTTACATGTCCAGTGAAGAGAGAACAATTAGTCAGAGATCACGACTCTCTGGACCTGGATATCTAAAAACCATAAACAGAGCACAGGCATTAGGGAGTAGATGTAATTACCCTAACCCAACTTTCAGCGAAGCTGTGTGACTGTGGAAAGAGGGGTGAAATCAGCTTGCTAAACAGGAAACACTCATCGGGTGAGTCCTGAGACTTGAGAATCATAGACAATCGTAGGGAAATTTCACCACTTGTTCTGACACAAGCCATCTATAAGATAGGCTTATCACATCATTTGTAGACCTGACTCTACATTTGTGGACTGAGCCCCCAATCCTCATTTGTGGTGAGCTAATGACACCTAAGTTAAACCCTCTGCAATATATTTTGCTCCTGCTCAGAAGGACAAGAAGTGGCAAAGACAAAGAGCCCCTTCCTGATGCAAGTTGGAATCAAGACCAATCATAAGGTTTGCAAGCACTTGGGGGTAACAGGGAAGGAAAACACAAATCACAGGATCATAAAACTAAAATATATCCTGTTAATGAATAAAAGTCTCAGAGGGGGAGCCGTGTTAGCGTGTAACTAAAAAAAAATTTTAAAACAACAATGGTCCTGTGGCGCCTTAGAGATTGACCAAAAATATACAGATAGTATCATGCACTTTCATGGGCACAACCCAATTCTTCAGATGAAAATAAGGAGCAAGAGCACAGAGCTTCAAATAAAAAGTAGAAAAAGAAGGGGGAAGAGGAGGGAAGTGAAAAAAAAACCAACCACCCTGTCAATTAAAGTGTCGTGCTAAACGAGTCTAATAGAGCAGACTGTGAAGTGCCCAATACTTAGCTTTTGATGTCATTGGGTGTTTAATATAACGGCCCATCCAATTCATATCTTTGTTCAACCCGTGAGAGATATTTGCATATGAAGGCCAGTTCTGCAGACTCTCTCTAGTCGACTCTTGAAATTACTTTGTAAGACAATTAAATCCATTAATGAGTGCTGGGGTCAGTTAAAATGTTCCCCAACAGGTTTTTGTGTGTTACCATTTTGAATATCTGATTTACGTCTATTAATCTTTTGTCGTAGAGACTGTCCAGCTGGCCAATATACCTGGCAGAGGAGCATTGCTGGCACTTGATGGCATATATCACATTATGGGATGTGCAGTTGTATAAACCTCTGATGTGGTGGCTTATGTGGTTAGGCCCTATGATGTCGCTTGTGTAGATGTGTGGACAGAGTTGGCATAGGAGTTTATTGCAAGGGTGGGCTCCTGGTGAGTATGTTTGAGGTGTGATGCATGGTTGCTGGAAATAATTAGTTTCTAGTTAGGGGGCTGTCTGTGAGAGAGAGAGAGGAATCGTTTTCCAGGACAGGTTATAGATTATTAATGATGCACTTGGAGGGCTTTCAACCTCGTTTCTATGGATTCAAAAGAAGTCACCTGCAAGTAGGGAGAGAAGTATGGATCTTTGGGGAGGGTCTCCGCAAAGAAATGCAGCTGAAGAAGCACAGCTCCAGGATTATGCAGAAGCCTCAATCTGTGTCAGGTTCAGGACACACTGGAAGTAAAATACCAGGCTCAACTGGCCCAGAGGTCCTCCACTATGAGGGAGTGGAGAGGGTCTTCATTTCAGACAGCCTGCTTGCTCACGGGGACAGATGGGATTTGGGGGGGAATAGGGAGATGCAAGAGAGTCCTGCCTGCCAGAGCTGAAACAGAAAGTAGACCATGCTGCAAAGAAAAAAGGAAGTGAAGAATGTTGAATAAGAACAAGAAGTAGAGAGGAAAAATCCTCCACTTCCAGAACTTTGGCCTGAACAAGAGAGGAGGCCTGAATTTCTGATGAAGAAGCATCTTTCACATTACACTAAATGGTCCTTAGTAATCTCATCCAGATCATCTCCAAAAGAGCTTAATTCCCGTAAAAGGGATCTTAGTTAATTTTAATTTGACCTGTCTCTAATGTGTTGTTCTAGTCTCTGAACTAGATATCTATATGGATCACCAGCAAAACCTCCATAACATTTGGCCACAATTTTGGCACTGACAAAGGCATCATCAAAGAGATTAAATCTATCCAGCTTGTGTCTGAATCCTTTTTCCATTGCTGCCTCCTATATTTTATTTCCTTCTCTCCTAGGATAGAGAGAGAGGAAAGGCAGTGAGAGAAAGAGAGCAGGAGGGCTAAGACAGGTGCTCTGTACCTCCAATATCAAAAGACAAAACCAGGGCAGGAAGTAGGTAGGCTCCTGCTTATATGATTTACCACTTAAAGTAAGAGATAACTCCTTTCTTCCAAGAAGTCCAGCTATTTCCATTTCCCATATACAAGCAATGGGAGATAAGAGCTGTTCAACTGCTACTGTATAGGATGAGAGCAGGAAAATAAAATTCCAAAAATATATGATTAATGTTGGACATATTACTTACTGTCTCTCAGATTTAAAGAACAAGTAATATAGAATTTCTTAACACAAAGTTTTTTAAAATAAACTTTTTCATAGAGGCTCTTTTAAAGGTGGTATTTTATGTCCAATAGTTTCTTGGTCACAAGTAGACTTTATTGATATAAAATATGCAATGTTAAGTATTCTGTATGAACTGGAGCCTTTCCCAAAAGGGAACTATAGATGGTAAACTATACACATCATAATGTAAGCAATCTTGTAAAGAAATCATTGTATTCAGATTTGGTTAACTGATCATACCATTTGCCTAACCCAGAATAATATATTTCAAACAAATTCACTATGTAGTAAAGTATATTACAGCCACTAAACATAGCTATTAAAGTTGATAAAGAGGGCAGAACCTTCCATTGACTAGAAGTACTATAGGATTACCGACACATCCACTCTCAGGACAAGTAAAATATCTTTAATTGTTTCATTATCATCAATCATCACAGTAAAAGGAGAGAAAGCAGATTTTGTTTCTGACCTTATAAATCTGTCATTAAAACTTTTAAAGGCTGGTTCATGGATAACAGAAGAAGTCAACTGGTTGTATGAAGAATGTCATTGAAAAATTTGACCCTACCTAAGGATTTTTCCAGTATTTAAAATAAATCCAGGTGCTAGTTACTTGTAGGCAGAGGAAGTTACACCAAATAAACTGTGGTATATAGTAGTATTTGTTTCTAAATTCACAGATCTAAATGTAACCCAGAAGACAAAAGTTCAGCAAGAGCAACCAAACGCTGATTAAGAGCAAAATGCCTCTTATATAAAAAATGTATTTAATGTACCATGCTGCATGCAGAATCCTTTTGAATTACTAACATTCATAAAGGATTAACAGATACCCAAAATGCAAAGCTAAAACACTACGTGAATAGAAACAGGCAATATAATGTAAAAATGTATTACTACATTAACATTAAAACATTTTTCATTTCACAATACTGAAAACATTTTCTACAGGTTTAGAAAAAAAATCTGTTTCCCATTTAAGTACAAACCCCTGCATGAAATGTTCACTTGCCAAGTTCCAATAAAAAAAATAAGAGGTTAACCCACAACTTCAATATGAATATAATTTTTCATGCTAAAATATAGATTTATTTTAAGGATATGGATAATATTTGTATTACATTTTATGGGCCCCTATACTTACATCTGGTCTATATTTATTCAAATTTTATTCAGCTTGCATAATATTTTTGCTTACACTTATATTCTTTAAGATCAGAAAAGCTCAAACCTGAAAATTCAATGGCACTATTCATTAACATTCCTTCAGTCTGCAGTCAGACATTAGCAAACTCGCCCTTGATTTTGAAATAATAAAACTAAGGTAATAAGATGTTTAGTATAAAAATATATGACTTAAGTAAGAATGGTAGAAAGAGCTATCAATCACATTGCCAAAGCAAACCAACATTTTTTAAAAACAACAATGGTCCTGTAGAACCTTAGAGACTAACCAAAAAATATACAGATACTATCATGAGCTTTTGTGGGCACAGCCCACTTCGTCAGATGACAAATATGGAACATGAGGCACAGAGGTTGAATTATAAAGCAGAAAAAGAGGAGGGGTAAAGGAGAAAAAAAACCTGTCAAAATGTTCATGCTAAATGAGTAAACTGTAAGTGCCCGATACTTAGCTTTTGATACCATTTGGGTGTTGAATATAATCCAGTTCAAGCATGAGAGACAGTATCAAATTTGCATACGAAGGCCAGTTCTGCAGACTCTCTCTAGCTGGTTCTTGAAATAGCTTTGTCAGAGAATAGCCACTTTTAAATCCATTAATGAGTGCCTGGGAAAGTTAAAATGTCCCCAACAGGTTTCTGTGTGTGTTCCACTTCAAATATATTATTTGTGTCCATTAATCCTTTGTCGTAGCG